ATGAACGGATATTTAAATCAAAACTCCCCTAAATCGATGCTCTGAACTGGGTCAGTTATCGAGAACACGTATTCAATCAAATCATAATCCGATTATTTGACTGCATATTTATCCCTTTCCAAGCTTAGTTACGTTAATGAAATTTCCAGCGATGCTAGAAAACTTTGAACAGAAGCATTGCTGAACATGTTGCAGCTGCTCGACCATCTTTTTGTCAGTTTTCTTTAAACTACAACGCTTCTTCTTCACAGTCTTCAGGCAATAAAACAGGTTTCTCACTTAAGATGACAAAATTAGCAGATCGATGAACAGCGACTAGACGCTACGATGCCCCAATAAAGACTGTACGCCTAATGAGAATTTGAAGCAATTAATTAAAACACAACCGAATGAATTCATATAGGTAAAATGCAATGAACAGTGTTCTTCAAAGTCTATCGTTGGACGAAGACGTGCGAATGGCAAATGATCGACATGTTATTCAAAATGGATCTCTGTCACTAGCGTTGTTCATCTTGTCTATCCATGGATTAACGGCACGAAGTAATCGACAGTTGTCATGGCATAAGTATTTTTAACCCAAATGAAACATAACTATACTTTAAACCGCAAGAGATGAAAATTCTGTTTGGTTTCTGTGAAAGAGAGCAAAGTTTCAGAATTTCAATAAGTCAAAGCCTGCTTCAACGAAGACGAATGCTCGTTATTAGGCGGTAATTGGAATCAGTAAAAAAATCAGCAGCTAAAGACTAATTTGAAGATGAGATCATGAAGAAATCAATGTAAATATCTTTGGCCAAACTACTAATTAATTTTAGCAAAGAATTTATTTCGCGGTCCTTCAGACTGGGGTTGCTTGGTCAAAACCGAATAGTCTCAAGTTTGAGCTTCGGTCAGGGTCACTCGCCTATCTACATTCAGAGGTTGATAAACGAGTACCACCTTATAGATAGGAAGCAGGCGACTATGCAATACGCTTGCCACATACCTGTCGATTTTGCAGAACAAAGGATATGAAATAAATTTAACGTGGATGAGTGCATAATACTGGCAATGCATTCTTTTCCGATGGCGAGACATTTAAAGGTTCATTGTATCTTCAGTTTCCACGTAAAAATATGACCTAACCTAGCTTCTACAAATCTCGCCGAAATACGCTTATCAAACATTAGTTGCATCGAAGAATCATTCAACAATGGCACAGAAACTCCTGATTTGCTGAGGACCAACAAATGAACGAATGATTCAGTTGCTTATCAGTAATCTTTATATCACTCGGTTTCGATATCCTTTCGGACAGCGGCGGCGGAAACGTCAGACAGTGTCTCGAACACTCCAAATACTGTTTGTGCTTTCGTCAGAAAAAAAACCTGAGTCTGTACCAGAGTTCTTCGATACACTTGCCTCAGGTCACTCTTGGCAATTCCATGATCATCGGCCTTTACGTTGCACAAGTAAGAGCTGTTTCGTCTCACTTTATGGAAACGCTCACAAGACGTGCCCAAGCCATCGCAGCTGTTACCTCTCAACCTGGAGAAGTAGCAGCTGGACTCGAAAGCTCTCACTGTCGTTCAGTCGCTTGTAACCGAAGTGGTAGATTATCCGTCATGGCCGACGGCTTATGAACGTCGATGAGTTTCAGGATAAACATCCACTTGAACACGGAGTCCTTAGTTTTTAGACTCTGCTCTGCTTTAACCGCAACGGTTTCGGATAGTTCATGCAGAAAGCAGCTGGCCATTCCCATTCGCTGGTCGATCTCTTCCTCAGATTTTCCATCACTAGTAAATACGACTCTGAGGTACTTGAACTTCTCCACCTGCTCCACTGCTTCCCTGTTTATCTGAAAAGTCGACGGGCAGAAAATCAAGTAAGCACTAGGTTTTCCGTTTTAGAAGCACTCGTATTCATGTTGACCATGTCGCACTGGGCTGCATTATAGAAATGCCTGAATAGCCTTCAAGACAGAGGTCCGTAGACCAGCGTCTGGAGGTGCAACAAAGAAGGTCGTCTGCAAACAGCCACATTCTCATGGGCTGCTCTGACTAACTGATCGAACAGGAGAGAGGACGGACACAGCCTTGGAGGAGACCTGTGCCAACATTCAAAGATTTTTATTTGACACCATTTACACTGGCGCACCAACTGCGATGAATGTACACTTACTGGATGACTCGAAGCAACTGGCCATTTATCACACATGTTCGCAGTTGCGAACATAACTTGTTACGCGAAATTCAGTCAGAAGCTTTACGCAAGTCAACGAATGATATGCAAATCGGCTGAGCTAACTCCCACCATTTCTGGGGTACTCTCACCACAGTTCTCCAGTCCACAGGTGCCTTCCTCATTTTCATTGCAGTTCGACAGACACATCTTAGCCACAATATACCTTATTCCTCTAAACCTTTAAGTAATACAGGTAAGATTTCATCAATTCCAGCAGCCCTTCTACCTTTCAAGTTTTTGACAACTTGTGTGACTTCGTCTACCGAAAGAAGAGTACCGATTTTGCTCCTATTCTTTAAACGAGTCTTCCTGCCGTGGCTCAGGGTCTAGCTGTTCCGCACAGTACCCTACCCATCACCAGAGTGTGTCATCATCCGTGGCATCGTTCCCGATTTATCCTGCGGGACTGTCACACTATCCAAGTTTTCATCTAGCATGAGATGGATGATCCAGAATGCCTTGTTTGCTAAAGTTCGACTCCAGCACCTTACACTGAACCTTTCACAGGAATCGGCTTTCGTTGCCGCCTTGAGAGTTTTTTCGTACCGCTTAGGAGTTGGTGGCTTTTTTTCTTCCAAGCTACTTCTTTAATGCAGCCTTTCCTCGCTGACAGCCAGTTGAGCCTCTTCTATCTACCAGGAAGTTCGTCTTGTTCTCCCGATGGCACACTAACGGTTTTTAAATCACAGCATTCAGCGGCTGCCCTGAGTGAGCCACTCTTAAACAGTTTCCACTCGGTTACCACATAGGCAGTCATCAGTGGAATCTGTTCAAACCTCGTGACATGCTGTTCGCAAGCTTTGCTCGCGTATCCGCTAAAGATAACGTTTGCATTAGAGTCTCTGATTGTTCTTGTCGCCAGGTCCTCGCATGGCATTCCGTCGTTTACAGCGTAGGGTGCCAACAACAGCTGATGAATGGTTGACAGCTATGGGCCTCTCTTAACGTGAACATCCACTATGCATTACGGTAGAAATTAAAAGGATGCGATTATCAAATCGATCATCGACTTCTGTGCTCGAGCCTTCCCTATATCAAGTATAATGGTATCCGTGATAAATGTCCGTTGTTTGCAAAAGAACTGCAACAATTTCATGCGTTATTATTGAGGTCGCTAGGGTCATTCTTTCCGGTCGCATCTCTTCCCTTCCCAGTGTCGGCTCCGCCATACATAAATTGAAATCGCCCAATGAAATATTGAATTTCGTAGTCAACACTTCGCGCAGAGCACCTTCCATTTCCTCAGGAAGAAACTCATATTCTCCATTCAAATTGGATGCACAGAATGTTAAAACTTTAGCCTGTTTTAGCATCAGACAGAGGATTGCCACTCATCTGCTGACAGGCTTCCATTCAGTGATTCTATCAGCAGGGTTGGGTTTTGTCAGAATTCCAACACTAGCCCGAGCGAGTGTCGTGATGTCCAGACATTCGCGAATTAGAGCCCCCCCCCTAGGGCAGGGGTTAGGAATTCCGGAGCCTTGGACGAGAGTCCAACTATGTCCAATCGCCACCGTGCGACCTCACCAACTAGCTTTCGGTCATTTCTTTGAGCGAGGATATGTGCCAGTTCTAGACTGTAAACTCCCACTGTCAATATCCCTCTCATGGGTCCTTATCTGACTACTATAATGGCATCACACTGTCTGCTGCCTCCACTGAGAACTTGTAGCGGCTACGATAGTGACTGGTATCTTCGTTTTCGACTTGTCGATCTTCGGCAGCTCTGCTGTGCTGCTA